TGACTCTATGAACCCCACCCTACCCACACACACACAAAATGGCCATTTCCCGGAAATCCTGGCCCAAATGCAGGTAACCTCCTTTTAGATAATACAACCACTCGGAGTAGTAATATCACCGCGCTGCTTGTGGGAAGCTTGCTGTGCCGCGTTACCATTGCCTGTAGGAAAAAGTTTACGACGAACATCCTGATGGCGCTACAGAAATGCAAAGTTCCTTAACGCTGCGTTGCTAACGGGTTGTGAGCGTCGGTCGGACGGGATGTGCCCTGAAGAGCCGGTGTGCCGCCCTGTGAAAGCGGCGGTGCCGCGGAGAAGAGGGCATCAGCCGCCCGTTGCCGTGGAGACGCGACCGGAAGTCGTGAGCCGTGACCCGGGTCGGTGGGCGGGGCCGAGCTGATCAGCTGACCGGCCCTGCCGTCACGTGACGCTGGCCCGGCCAGACGAGGCTCGGCTGAAGCAGGAGCAGCTGCGGAGTTTGACCATATCTTCGTCCAGTCTTAAAACAGCTTCCTAAGGTAGTCGGTGGAATATCACTGCCCTGGGAGCGATATAAAGTAAGGCTTTTCGGAAGGGGGTGGGGGCGGGGAAGTGAGTTAAGTGTGTGGGAGTTTCTCTAAAGAGGCAGTGGGCAGTGGGTAGTGGGGAGTGGGGTATAATGGGGAAGTGGGGAAGTGGGGAATGTGTCAGTTCAAAGTGCGGTTTCCCACCTGATCCAATTACTCTGGACCCACTGCCCTTCTGTCTGGAAACACAATCTTCCCTGGCTTCTGAACAAAACAACCGAAAACTAAACAGCATGCGGCATATTGTCACTGCTTAGTCACCGAAGTAAGTTCTTGCAAAATAAACGTGTGTACGTAAATACTGGTTCACCTTCCATGCATCACCCTTGCCGAAAGTTGTTCTCCAATAAATTTGAATCATCATCCGTTCAAGGTAAACCTCTGTAGCGAGTCTGAACTCGTTGTCACTGTTACACTTTAGGGTATCTGGGGGGAGCTCTCAAGAATGTCCGTACTCTGCATATTGGCACTTGGTTTTACTGTGGGGAACAGGTGATTGTAGTCTTATTTGTATATATACACATACAATGCATTTTTCAACACGAATTACTGTAGAGTGATCTGGACTGAAAACCCTGTCTCCTCCTCATTCTGATACACAAGAAGGCAATTGTAATGCTGTGTTACCCCAGTTGAAATTAGACATCTCATTTTTTTTTTTAGGCAAAGCTATGGTCTTTCTTAGCTATCTGATTTAAAATCTTGTGCTGGCAGCTAAATAAAGACTAGTTTTATGTGAGATTTCACACGACATCCAGTGCGCAGTAGCTACGTGGACAGATCTTTGCAATGACTTTGTTTGGTGGCTGTGGCAAATTTAAGTTGATCATTCTGTAAAAATTCTTTACACGGTCCTATTCTTCAAGAAATAATTCTCAAAAATTGAGAGTATTTTCTGGATGTTTGGCTGATCTAAAAATGGTGGGAGATTCTGCTTTCACTAGTACACTGGCTTTGTGATAACATTCAATGTGGAAATTCACTGAAATATTTGAATTGATTTCTTATAGTCTGTTAAAATTAAATTTGTAGCTTGATATTTTTTGTTGTGATTGAGGCCATTCTTAATGTGTATGATGCTCCTGATGTTAAGCATTTCATTTTACTGCCTTACTGTTAGGGCACAAAATTGGAGAACTAAGTTTAAACAGATGAGGTGCGCACAATTGAGAGAAATGAACAACTCGGTTTGTGCAGTGGCAGCAACTTGAAATTTTGTTTGATCAGTTCAACCCAGGACGATTTGTCTTAACATTTGCTTTTCTTGGCTTGGTTGGAGCTAGAGAAGGTTTTGGTCTCTGGTCCGTTTTGTATTTTTTAGTACATCATTGTACAGCTGTTTGTGTGTTGTTGTCAAGTGATTCTGATATACAATGACAAAAACAACTTACCAATGTGATTCTCATCTATATTAAAGCTAAGAGCTGTAATATATTTGAGCTCTTGACTTGGAAAACTAGGTTAAATTTTAGTTGTGATATATATATAGAGTTTGATGCAAAGTCTTGAACTTTCAGACAAATTTTTAATGTTTTTAAATCAGAAAAATTCTTAAATGATCAAAGTTTGTACACAGTCAGGCTCTGATTGGAGAGAGAGCATGTTGCAAATTACTGATCTGTTTGCAAACCATGCATCATAGAATCAGTATGAAATTGAGACCCGGTACATATGAATGATTTAATTGTTTTGGCAGAAAATCATTTATTTCCTATTTTGTTTCAGTTCAAACCTAAATGATTTAATATGAGGATATAGATTGGTTCCACCGACAGTGCAGAACGTTGATATTCTTTTCTGCAGTGGCAGTTAGGCAAATTGAGTTTGCCACAGACTGGACTGTGGGCTGATCGCCTCCTTCTGTCTGTTAAATTCTGAACCTGTCAGTGGTACATCCAAATCCAATTCTGAATCTCTGGTACTTCTTTCTTCTTCCTCTTTTGCTGTCAGATTTTGAGTTGGATTTTATCAACAGCAGCAATGACTTGCAATAACATTGCATTACACCTTCAACATAGTAAGTTGTCCTGTAATGCTTCACAGACTTTTTAACGTTTGGCAATGAACTACATAGGATAACAAACTCTGAGAGAGGTAGATTTTAAGGCAGAACTTGAAGGAAGAGAGAAAGCTTGAGAACTTCAAGGATAAAATTGTGGAGATTATCTTCTAGACAGCAGGAAACATGGTTGTCGGTGGTGAAGTTAAAAGGAGGGATGACCAAGAGTTTAAAATTAGAGGAGTTTACATATCTCTGAGGCTTGTAAGGCAAGTGGAGAATATAGTGATAGAGAGCAGTGAGTCTATGAAGGGATTTGAAAACAAGGACAAGAACTTTAAAATTGAAGTGTCACTGGTTAGTGAGCACAGGGGTGATGAGTGGATGTAACTTGGTGTGGAGATTGGGACTTGAGATACATGCTGTTGATTTTTCGTCCGCTTCAGTTTACAGATGGTGGAGAATGGTAGTGTGGTAGGAGAGCATAAAATAGTCAACTGTGGAGATATTAAAAGCATGAAAGAGAACTTCAGCAGAGCTTATAGTGGAGACAATATTAAATGGAGGAAGTAGGTTTTTTTTTTACATACTTAGATTTCAATTCCATTTTCATAAAATCATATACGATAAACATGGTTTATGAGTACGTGGAAAAGTGAATTGTTCCTGTAGCTTGAACTTATTGCTAAATGTTGTATTTGAGAGGTTTGATGCTGGTAGAATACTGAAACGTAGAAAGCATAGGATAGTGATTTTCTCAGCTTGACACGAATGCAAGATAATACATTCCTGATCCAAATCAGTGTTGGCCGTTGCTAGGACAGTTGAAAATTCAAAAATAACAGATGGTTGAAATGACTGCAAATGCAAATTGGGAAAATTAATTTTAATTAATGGCAATGAAATTATATTCTTAAAAATCAGATTTCAAAGCTGTATTTTCTCCCAATTCTATTAATGATGTTTAATTTTGGAGAAAATAGGCATTTCCTTGTTTCAGATCTTGTAAATTTATAAGTCCAAATTTTTTTGGTGAGCACTTGTAGTGTGCATTTTTAACATCAATAACCAATGAACCTATGATTTATCTACCCTTTCAGGCCATTGATAGATTATTATGTGGATTAAAATGTGAATGTTGTGACAATAACTACTTTTGTGTTTAATCTATAACTTTTTAAGATTCCACGATAGTGCAAGTATCACTAAGTTTTTAATGGTTTCCTTAATTTGCAGACAATGCATTCTAAGTGGTTTATTGGCCTATAATGTAAAATATCTTCACCATGGAAGAATCTTCATCTGGAATGAACACTACGAACACGCATCCATTTGGGAAGGAGGAAGATGACTCGTTAGAGAGACTGTTTGTGTTCTTTTGTGAGCAGTTGCGGCTGGGGAACTGGGCCTTAGCACAAGCATGTATGCCCCAACTAAGGCAATGGCAAGCTGGTGGTGCAGGACAAGTGAAGGAAATCCTCCAGGCAATCATTGTCTGTCCATATAAGCTAAGGTGAGTACTCTGGAGAAGCTTGGATTTTGCAGCACAGGCAAGGCCATGCAGCTCTTTGTGTCTGAGCTGCCTGATAGTTAGAACAAACCAAAACTGATCCTACTCTCTTATCATTTCTCATGGGCTTATTTCTCTCTGTTGTAAATTTTATTTACTTTGAAGGAGATTGTGGTGTATTGATAACATCACTGGACTAGTAATCCAGAACACTAGGCTAATGTTCTGGGGACATGGTTCAGATCCTACCATGGCAGGTGTGAGGTTTGAATTCAATAAAAAAAATTGTAGAATATAAAGCTAGCCTAAAGGCAACTGCATGACCACTGTTATAACAAGGTGTAGAGCTGGATGAACACAACAGGCCGAGCAGGAAGGTTGACGTTTCGGGCCTAGACCCTTCTTGATTGTTGTAAAAACACATTCTGTTCACTGTTGTCCTTTAGGGAAGGAAATCTGCCATCCTTACTTGGTCTACCCTACATGTGACTCCAGGCCCACAACAGTGTGGGCCTTAAGTACCCTTTGGGTAATTAGAGATGGGCACTAAATGCTTCCATAGCCAGTGACACACATGCCACATGCACATAAAGAAGGTAAACCTTCTGCCTTACAGTACAGGTCATTTGGTTCAAACAGTCTGTGTTGGTGTTTGTAGTCTGCTTGACCCTTCCCTCACTTGATGTCATCTAAAAGCATCAATGCATCTTTCTGTTCCTTCCTACTCATTAGGTTTCTACTTTCCACTTAAGTGAAACTATCTTATTTGGTTCAACCATTTGCAAGTTCTGCATTTTCATTACTCGTTCAATAGAAGCAAAGATATTTGCCTCAACTGTGAAAATACATTCTAAGTTTTAACACTTGTTCTGTGCAAGGAAATTTCAAGCTTTCTCCTCACTGTTGGATGTAATCTTAAATTGATAATGCTGATTTTTGACTCTCCCAGCAGAATGTTAAACCCCTTTCTTTACAGGCTTCTTGCCTGATAGTAAAATATTGCAATATCTCAAGTATCCCTTCATCAGTTTAGTTTCCCATTTTGGTATAATTCTGGGAATATACATTGTATATTTTCTATCCCCTTTCCATAATGGGTTGCTCAAAATTTCACATGATCCTAATCCTAATTAATTCATTGCTTTGCTTTTGTTTTTTATTGGCCCTTCTTTTAAAACATAGTCAGAAGCCACCCGACAGCAGGTTTTATTTGAAATCACAGTCTCTTGGAGTGCTGCTCCTTGTCGGGTGACATCAGCTAAACAATGTTCCAAAAGCTTGTGATTTTGAATAAACCCGTTGGACTATAACCTGGTGTTGTGTGACTTCTGACTTTGTCCACCCCAGTTCAACACCAGCACCTCCACATCGTGGCTACCATTGACATCTTTAAAACGGAGTTCTGCTCACTTTTATTTTCTGACTTTATGTACTTGGGCTCTCAGTTTCAAGAACTGTATTTATGAATCCTGTGGTCTCTGTTCGTCCATATCCAATGTCTTTCTATTAGGTGTATGCATCTGTTGGTTGAACAAAAGCTGCAGATGCAAGAAATCTAAAACTGAACCAAACTGGAAGAACTCAGCATTGACTGAAAAAATCGGTAAATTGAAGTTTTCGGGTACTTGCCCAAAACCAAAATTTCAACCACCATTTTTAATTTGTGTTTCTCCTAAAATACATCATCTCACTTCTTCTAAATTACATGCCAGCTGTCTACCTGTTTCTCTTACCATTCAGTCACTTTCTGAAATCTTTTACAGTGCTCCATGTATGAAATCTATTACTTTCATAGCCATTGCTTCTGAAACACTTTTCGTTTTATTCCTGTTAACAACTTCTTTTGCAGTCCCATCAAGGATTAAAGTGTCTGTGTCTGCGCTTTCAGTTCCTTCTGACATCATGGCTTTGGATTCACTGAATTGACATCATGTGCCTGTTGGTGTTCCAAAGCTAGATTGTTGAGAAAGAGCAAACCACATGTATGGCTCGATCTTAACCTACTTGCAGGCACATGATCACAGTTTATTATGACCTAAGCCATTGATCCAAAAAGAACTGAAAGTATGATTAGAGACAGTAAGAACTGCAGATGCTGGAGTCCGAGATAACACAATGTGGAGCTGGAGGAACACAACAGGCCAGGCAGCATCAGAGGAGCAGGAAAGTTGACGTTTCGGGTCGGGACCCGATACAGGACTTCCTTTTAAGTCATAATGCCTTCAACAGCTTTTACAATACAGATGTATGGTATCAAAATGCTGCATCAACGATTCGGAATTTGGGATTCTGTCCTTGAACTTCTGTGTAGTAATCTATATATTTTATTCTTCCTGAATGGTTTATTTCCTACGTTGCCGAAAATTATTGGTTTCTTGCTCTTGTACATAAATACTGATCAATCTTAGTAGCTCCCTCAAGGTGCATGTTTGACAGTAGATATTGATAGACTTTTGGCTGCAAAGATCAACACAATCCTCTCATTAGCCAGCGTGTATTCATGCACTCTTCCAGTGGGAGGGAATGTCACTGAACAACCATCAGAATTCTGATCGATGTTTTCTTCCCAAATCTAGAGGTTCTGAGGCTAATATGATTGGCTAATTTAGCTCAGCCTTAGGTTTTCCATTATCCATTTAGCTTAACGATTCATTGAATAAGCTTGCAGTCCATAATGGGATCTTGAGTACATTTTTCATAGGATGTGGTATATTTTTTGCTTTTGCGTTCTGCAGGATGCTTAAAGTCACTCTAATCTCACAAGTATGGAATGGTTGGGACCTGAATCCTTTTTGTTTGTGGAATTTTCCGGTTTTTCGTATGATGCTAGAATGCCCAATGAAAAGTGATAATAAAGGCTCTTGTGCACATGAATATTCAGCCAGAAAGTTCACCTTCAAATCCCATCTACCTCTGACATTTCATAATACACCTGAACAGGTCGGTTAAAATATTTACAGACTGGAAAACCCTGTAGAAACAACTACTTACTTGAAGCATAAAACAGTTGCAAAATGTTAAAATGTGGTAATAAAAAGTGCTTTTTTCATCCAAACACTATCTTCCACGTTTCTGCTCATTGACACAGTTTCTTGGGCCTACTCAAAGTTTCTGAACTGATGTATTTCAGAACTAATCCAGGGGGAAAAAAAAAATTTCATTTGACCATTAACTTGTTAAAATTCTGACTTCTGACTAGTTATTTGTGTGCAGGTGGGAGACGATTTCTAGCCCTCATCGACTTGCCTGGCTGTGGCTACTGGAGCTAGAACGGTGGTGGTCACATGAACAGGTAAATGGGCATAGCACACTCTGTGATTCTGTAGAAAATGTTCATTCTTTTCTGTTCATTTCCTCACATCTTATTCTTTAATTCTGAAATAGCCATTATCTTTTTGCACCAGATATCACTTCCACCATTTGTCAGAAGGGAGATTGAATTCTTTTTGCTCCTGGAACAGCTACAGCCACAGATCTCTCAAGATGTCTTAAAGGTAATGTCTTGATATTTTTATAGCATTTCAGTGTTTTTTTTGTTAAGTTGAGCTCTTAATTGAGTCAGGTATCAACTATTACTGGTATGTGTGATCAATTTAATTCTATATTATGTAGCTGTGTAATTTTTAAAATTATAGTAGTGTTTTACCTTAAAATATTCAATGCATTGATATGTTGTGTCGTACTACTCAGTTCATGGATGATTTGATTAATAATGACAGAACTGCATATTCTGTGATACTAATTATTTATATTGTTCTCTGCACAGGAACTAAATGATATATTTTTTAAATGTCATAATCCTGATGTGATGATTGAGAAGCAAGAGGACATCAGTGCCTATACACTAAGTCCTGAGGCATTTTCTTCTTTGTGGAAACTTTTACCCAGGAACCCTCAACTTGTGAAGGCTGTGGTTTCTTATTTGTTGGTAGAAAGTAGTGAAAGTTCTGCTGTGGAGCACAACCATAGGCTACAGAAACTATTCATCGACTTTCTGCAGGATGCTCTGTGTACACTAAAAGAAGCTCGCAAGGGAAATGCCAAGAATCGATCTGTCATGGATGTGCATGAGTTAACAGAAAAACAAATATATGCTGTTGTTTCTGTGCTTACTTTTGATGTGGAAAGGCAGGCCTATGAAACCCAGCAGTTATGTGAGGAGCTCTATGATGCTTGCTGTGCGACAGAATATGGACTGAGTGAGGAGCACTTACTTGGTTTCATGCTTAGAAAATCAAACCAAACTCTGATTAATTTGTACAGCACTGTATCCATCAAGAAGAACAAAGAAAAGCTGGTAGCGCAAATCTCACCTCAAAGAGGTAATCAGTAACCTCATTCAAATTTCCACTACCATTCTTGCAATAGAAAGAACTGTATTTGATTTCCTTCTCAAGCTAATAATTTATAAATGTTTATTTTGCAGTTATTGCACACCGCATTCTGATCCCAGGCTATTTTATATTTCTTTGCTGAACTAAGAAACATGCACAGGAATGCAAGTTCTCCTGTAAATTGCATAGGTCACTATTCTCTGCGATTGAGATATGATGAACAAGCTCAATGCTGGCATTAAACCATATCTACATGTACACTTTTCTGGCAGCAGATATTTAATATTAATGGCTACTTCAAACATTGCACCTTGTTATTACCATTATTAACCAGCATACAGTGTATTTCCACCATTCGTTTGATCAGTACAGTGACCAAAACCTGGTGGCCTGAGTCAGTCACATGTAACCTCAATCTCCCTGTTTTCTGCTTGTGCTGTATTTCCAAAAATGGCTCCAGTAGGTTTAAAACTAAAATAACAATTTGCAGCAGTAATTCAGACAATCTTTGAGACAATGAGAACCTCCACACAGTGGAAAAAATTAAATATTTTTGGCTCTTGGATTAAAACTTTAGTTACCAGGGTCCTGTCTGTTATGACCTTGAGCTACCTGATAATCAGGGACTTTGACCCTCTCAGTTCATATACTTCAATTAATATTTGGCTACAGACTATTAGTATCTAATGAGAAGCATTATGTAAAATAAAGCTTGATTCCTGGAAGTATTCCAAGGTATTTGAAAAATTGGATAGGTTAATCTAGAGTCTCCATTTGAAAGAAATGGTTTAAACATTCTCCCTGTCAGACACATTCTGACTGGAAAAGACAGGCTTGGCTAAGGTTGTTGATCTTCTGTACATTAGGTAATCATTTTTGACACCTTAGATGCTAATCTCAAGGTTGATACTGGAATGTACTTCAAAGCAGCAGTGTGTGAGTGTTGAACTGCGCTATTTGACTTTTAAAATTTGTTTTCATTTTCTTTTCGGTTTTTTTTCAGTTTCTCTTGGACTATCAGAGGCTGAAAAAGTTACGTTAGCGTCATTAGCAGACTCTGAGGAACCTCTTTCTTGGAAGGCAGCCTACTTCTACAGCATGAGCACCAGTAAGCACTTTCTGGAACAGGTTCTGGTATGTATTGGGACCAAGGGAACAGGATATGTGGCTTTGATTTTTGAATCAAATGTTCAATAATAAATGTGGAATCAGGTTCAGGGTGAGACATGTTACCATGTACCTATTGCCACATGTTTCATGAAGGAGCCTTTTTAAACTCTGCAATCTACAACGTTTTATGTTTGCAACAAAAAAAAATCCCGAACTCTGATCTTGATGCTCAATTAACAAGCTTAATCAGATAGCCACAAGCAATATGGTAAAGGAAGTAAGCTTGGGAACAAAGTGGTGACTTTGGTTCAGTGATTCATAGAATTGTTATGGTACAGAAGGAAAATATTTGGCCCAACATGTCTGCTCGAGCTGATTCCGAAGATGTCCACCATTTTTCCACTCAGCATTTCATTCTTCTATTACCTGTTTCAGATGTTGGTAGCCTTGTTTATCATTTTGGATTATTTTATGTGCTTAGGTCACAGAAGTATCTCATCATATGCAAGATGTAAAATAACTACTTGGTGTGGTTAATTGGTATAGACTAGCTATGGCCAGAGTTGTGGTGTGCCCGGCCACTTTGCAGTGAGTCATGTAGAAAGCCACTTTTATGCAGATTAATGATTGTCTATAAAATTTCAATAGTATCACAAGGAATCCTATAACTTTCATTCTGAATCACTTGTTTTCATTATTAATGTTGCACGTACTTCACTTCAAAAACCGTGAAAACTTGTTTTTAAAATTCATGAGCAAAGTCTGAAGCTAGCTGATTGCTGTTTTTCGCTCTCTTATGCAAACCTTAAATATAATCTGTCTTTTACTAAACTGTAAACTCCAGTAGCAATCCTCTGTTATATTTTCAGATTGTAGCATTTCCTTGCTTTGCAATGCAGGTGCTTCTCAGATTCATGTCAGTGTAATTACTGTAATATGTAATCATTTATAGTATTTTTGTATATTTTTAATCGGTTTGTTCAGATGTGTAAGTCAGGTCTCCTGACACCACCATGTAACTTAAATTGCCTGATGTGATTTTAATACTTCAGTGGCAAAATGCCCTGATCATTTGATGTAATTGCCATTGGCTTTTCTGAGTAAAATTTGATTCAGAATTGAGTGCACCCATCATTGAAATTGAAATTGCATGTGATATAAGAAAATAACTTGATTAAATTGAGGTGCGTTTTTGTCTAATTATTTATTTACGAATCCTTTAATCTTCACTGTATTGTAGTTGACCTGATAACACTTGTGTTAAGTGCATAGCGTGAATATTTCTTTTTTCATTTTCTCCTTTGAAAGGTACACTGCAATTAAATTAATTTTGACAATTGTGCAGTTCTCACTGCCTTTCCTTGACCCCAAGTGTCTGGTGTAAAGACTACTTTCGTTTTTTGGACTGTGACCTTAAAATGGGAAAAGATACTGCTTTAAAACAAGGCACGCTGGAAGAAGATTCGGTAACTTTTTTAAAAAAAAGTTACTGAAATTGTGTTTGTTGCACCTACGAGGTAGCCTTATTCAAGCAATGAGGAGAGCATGTTAGATACCCTGGCATCATGGGCATTTGTCCAGTGACAGACTTTTGAACAATTTTTCAACCACAGCCAGTTGTGTATGCTCAGATATGTGCAGCATTGTTCCTGGGCAAATAGCTACAGCTTTATGTTTGAACAATACTGCAGAAAAATCTAGCCTGTAAAGGAGAAAATATCTCTGCCTCTTTCTCTACCTCCCCCTTTTGAGTGTAGAAGTAAAACAAAATAGCTACTTTCTTGCAAACTCTGAAAATTCCTTTCTTGAAAGGAGAAAGAGAAAAACCAACTTTAGAGACACAGAAAGGCAAATCCCCAACTGGGGACTTGAAGATTGAGAATTGGTGTGACCACAATCTTATGTCCTCCTCAAAGAGGCAAAAGGAACTGAAGGGAAACATCTCATTAACTGTTATTTACACTAGACTAATGTTACAGTTATGCTTCACTGACTTTCGTTTTATTCCTTCCTCACCCGTAGTAATTCTGTTTTGTCTTGCCTCTTCGTGTCTGTTTGTATGCATGGAGGAATCTTTTAAAAGGAGTAGGACTTAAGTTATAGAGTTTTGAGTTGGTAACTCATGTTCCTTTTCTACCAGAAATTTAAAACAACCAGCTTGCAATAAATAACAGAAACAGCTAAGTATAGAAACCTTGTGTGTTTTCTTTAAACCTGGGTTCCTCAGTCAGGTAAACTGGGGACTTGGAATGGTTTATCGAGTCATAGAGGCATACAGCACGGAAACGCACCCTTCGGTCTAACCAGTTCATGCTGAACCATAATCCTAAACTAAAGTAGTTCTGCCTTTCTGCTCCTGGCCCATATCCCTCCAAACCTTTCCTGTTCGTGTATCCATCCAAATGTCTTTTAAACATTGTAATTGTACCTGCATCCACCACTTCCTCAAAGTTCAGTCCACAAGCGAACCACTCTGTGGAAAAAAAAATTGCCTCATGTCTTTTTTTTTAAACCTCTCTCCTCTCACCTTAAAAATGTCCCCCAGTCTTGAAACGCCCCATCTTAGGGAACTTTTTCACATTTGTGATGACTGTGGAAATAATGGGACTTGATTTCTAGTGCATTACCCAGTGAGTCATGAAACCACCTTGGAGACACGACCAAGCAGCATGAGTTTTTAGTAGATACATCTCTTGATGAGCAGTCTTCTTGACATTCCAGTTAAACCTATTTTCTAGATTTAACATTGGTATTTGTTGTAATGAGTGATTTGTGATTGCACAGTGAATGTGTGCTGCACTGTTCTCATTATTCATTTTTTTTACTTTGTCAGGCTACTGCTTTGCAATTAATAAAGCGGGAGGATTACAGCACTTTAAGCAAATTAACGAAGAAGACATTCAAGCCTCTTTCACGACTCATGGTGTTGCTGGGGTGGACTCACTGCCAAAGTCTAGAATCAGCTCAGAATCTACTATGTACGCTCCATCAAAGCAAGGTATGGACGATGTTGATGGTGAAAGTTCGTGAAATGCCTCAGTTATGCAGCCATTGTGAATGTAAGATTATTCGTCACTGGTGACTGCAAAAATGATTCAAAAAATTTATTTTGTGATGTAAGAATGGTCATTTCAAAAGCAAAGCAAAGATAATAAAATTAGGGATATATAAATGACCCAATAGTAAATTCTTAGCCGCAAGTAACCAAACTTATTTCTGCATCACCTACCATGCAGCATGACTGATCGAGCAAATTATTTACTTGAGTCCTAGTACCTTTTATCTATTGACTTAGTTTCAGATTTGGGAGTCTGAAATTCATAAATACTGCAGCATCTTATTATGTCGAGACATTGGTTTTTTATGTTTTGCTGAACGCCCACCATCACAAAACCAAAGTCGGAATTCAAACATTGAGAAGGGATTAGGTGGATGCAATAGTTTTAACAGCTTTAGGACCTTAACACACTCCTTTGGCTCTAAAAGCACAATGTATTTGGACAGTTTCAGTATGTTAGAGATTATAGGAAGCTTTTGGGTTAGCAACAGCGCTGCTATTTCTGATTGAGAAGGTCTTGGGTTCAACCTCACTCCAGAAATCTGAAGGTTTATACTCTAGTGTGGTACTGAGGAAATGTTTGAGGTGCCATGTTTTGGCCGATATGTTATACTGATGTTCTTTCTAGCTCCTGGATAGTTGCAGAGAATTCCACAGGCACTCTTTGATGCTAGCCAGTTCTTTCATTGTCCTGGCTAATGTTTCTTCCTCAATCAGTATCACTTAAAAACCCAGATCATTTGATTTATTTGTCACATTACAGATTATGGGACCTTGCTGTTTGTAAATTAGGCACTGTTTCCTTGTGTTACAACGATGACTACACATCATTCGCTGTGCATCGGGAAGACTTGTGGTCGTGAAATGTGCGATTTTAATTCTCTTTCTTTCCTCTACATCTTTGGATTTCACCAAGTTTTTTGAACTGACAAGCAACGTAGGAAATCTAATAGCTAGGTTTACTTTGAAAATTTGGACAAAAAGTTTTACAACTTCCAATCCAAAAATCTTGACCCCTATGTGGTTTAAATTATCTGAATGTTGCAGCCTTGTATTTCTTATAATTTGCTTACAAGAGGACAGCTTTGTAACTAAGCCACACTGTTAATATTAATTTTGATGTTCCTCTCAGGAGCAATGTTGCGATGCTGTGCTCCAAGACTTCTGTGGTGGGTTGTCTTCTCACATTGAGGTTCTTGCGTGGTGTTTGAAATGGAACAGGTAATTATTTTTCCATTCTTGTTTCTCTCGATCATTGTTTGTTGTAATCTTCAGATTTACATAATTGAAGTAATTCTTTTCATATTTCAGGAAAATTAAAGCTAATAAATATTTACTGACAAGTTTTCTCCGTCTCCTGTTTATGCCGAGTTAGCAAGAGCACCACTTTCAGTTTTGGTGTCTCAATGCTAGATACCATTGGGGAGGATAATCAATTAGTATCTATATTTCTTTGTATTGGAAACTGCAGCTAATAGTATTGTTGGATATGTACTGGAATTTTCATTGGCATATCTGCTTCCACCAATAAAGCATCTTTTTTTTTCCTCCTGTGTCCTTTTGGACTCCGGAATTGCAATGCACTTCTATGTCCCATCATATGCTCATGGCTTGTTTACTGAGGCTCTCAACACTTGTAGTGACCCTCAGCATGACAGCTGTGGGGGATTGGAACAGGAACAGGATGATTAAAAATTAGACTTGCATTTATATAGTAGGTTTCACGAACACCAGATATCCCAATGTATTTTATAGCCAACAATGTACTATTGAAGTGTGATCACTCTTGTTATATAGGAAAGATGGGGGTTAATGTTGGCCAGGACATGGGAATAACTCCCTGCGCTTCCAAGTAGTGACTTGTGATCTTTAACAGCCACCTAAGTGGGCAGATGAAGCATCTGTTTTATATCTCATCTGAAAGATGGCACTTTGTGCACTTCTTCACTGGAGTGTCACTTTTTTGATTTTTGTGCTCAAGTCCTGGAGTGGGACACAAAAGCAGAATCTTCTGAATTTGGTCGCAGCATTACTAACTAACCCATAGCTCGCACCTAAGTGCAGGAGTCCAATTTTAGGGCTTATGTGGCAGGGTTAAAATTAGTCCTTTTGTTTTGATAAATTAGTAACCAAGGATATGTGGTCTAACTTGTGCTCCTGCCCTTTTCTAAAATAAATCTCTTAGGAACAGCATTCCTGAAACGGATTTTATTCGCCATTTGCACAGTTTGGACTGCCACTCTGCTTTGTATAGTTTGCATCACCTTACAAACCTGCCTGCACTGAAAGTGGAAGATGTCATTGGCCTCCTTCAGAAACAACCTGCTAATGGAAATGGTGATGACAATTATTAGTTTCTTTTAGTTGCTTTGAGCTCTTGAAAGGCATTTTTATGATATCCACCTAGTAAGCTGTGTGGGGTGCAAATCTGAAATTAAAGTGAGAGATTTCAGAAGGTAGTACTCTTATAATATTTGCATGTAACTGACAGAATATTACTATATTTTCAGAAAATTTGAGTTGAATTTAACATCCAGTACAGGCTAGTTTCTCATCTTAACTCAATATGATCAACAATTCTATTCTTGAATCTTTGTTTTTATGCATATTTGTGTGGTCAGGAGTAATGTAATGTCTTAGTACATTGATTGCTAGGAGATATACAAGTGTGGCTATATAAGCTACTTTCTCCGTATAAAATATTTTAAAATCAGGAACTGTGGATTTGGAGGCTACAAGTTTCAATCCATCCAGTATGGGGCACAAGTACACAGCTCAACGTTGGCACATATAATCTATACAATTGATGTTGTTGTGACCATGTGTCAAGTGTGTTGAGGTTTGTTCTACACAGGAATCCATGTCTTCAAAAAATAAGATATGAGCTTTCGGTAGAGAAAATGTATCAAGAATTTGATTTGAGCATTGTTAATTATTCAATGTTATTGTGTCAAAATTTCATTAAATGCAAAATGTAGGGCAAATTTGTTTCTTTTGTGTTAATTGTTTCTATTCTTTAGGTGCAAGGTCTCAAAGCATGACTCAGCGGCGAAATGTGACATTGTATCAAGCATTGTGTGCCCTTAAGTATGCCATATATGCAATCTGTGTAAATGCACATCAGCCATCTTTGTGTAAGGACTGTCCATATTGGTCACTGGAAGCAGCTGTTAAAGATGTTTCGCTTGAAACTGATCATGCCTGGAATCAAGGTAAGCAAATGAGCAATTAAGTAGTCTTTATTATATCATCTATGACGATGACAGAGATCTGTGGTAGATGTCATAGTAACTATCTGAGCAATCAGGAAAAGCCCAAACTTGGTTGCCTTCTACATTGTAAAATATTTTATCAGCAGCTGTGAGAAAGTACAGTTTTCAGGAAAAATAAATTTATTTTTATTTGCACAACAGGTTGTTCTTCAGTTTTCAAGTTTTATTCGTCCCGGTGTCAAGAGTTTCTACACATGATCCCTGCTCCTTTCCGATTAGAGGTGTTGGAGAATATCTTCTCTTTATTATTTTTGTCCTACAATGACCTCAATGGAGATAAAACAAGACATGAAGGACAATTTTGCCTTGATGAAGAAGGAGACACTGAACAAATACAAGCAGCAGTGGGTTTCGACAGAATTGTAGAACACTTGGAATCCACACTGGAATTTGTGCATAGTGAGCACTCGAGCACTGGTTTGGATGAGAAGGCTCCACAGAAGAGCTCACGGGTCCTCCGTAATGGCTGTCTGCAGAAACTGAATGTCAAAAACTTTGTGTCTGCGTCTGCAGAAAATGATACAACAGAGCAGCTGGAATATCTGAATCTAAAGCATTTTGCTATGAGTGTAAATCGTGGGAATGACTTTTTAGTGAATGCAGTGACGATGAACGTATTTCTGGAGGTGATAAAGGATCATCTGGAGGCACTGAAATGCCAAATTCCTTGGACGCCCTGCAGTGTACCTAAGGAAGATATACAGTTAGTCGAGTGCCTGAATTGTTCAATTAGTGCAGAATCTTTTGAGAGTCGATTAGCACAACTTTCCAGGTATATCTGTGAAGCTCAATGGAGGTACAAAGTAGTGACGAGCAATGGAACAACTGGTAAGACTTGCAAACATTGATAGTATTGTGGAAACAGCCAAGATTGGTCTGAACTGGGCAAGAGTTCTTTCAGAAATGCAAAAATGAACTTCTGTTTAAAAATAAACTGAGATATAAGTTAATTTTGATAAATTAATATAGAATCTGTGGTGGAACTAAGCGGCAGCAAGGGACTTTTGATAAATGTCCCATACAGAAATCAGGGGAAAGAAAATTAAACTATGTGGAAGTGGGGCTAATATACTGGCATGAATTGAGAATTGACTAAGAATCGCAGTAGGAATAAATGGATCATTCTTGGGTTGGTAAGCGTAACTGATGGAGTAATGCAGTGATCAGTGTTTGAGGCCCAGTTGTTCACAAACTATAACTATAACTATAATAATATATATCCAGATCAATATTTTCAACTTAAAAGATGACCCAAGCTAGGTGGGAATATGAATGATGAGGAGGGCACAAAGGGGCTTGAAATGGATTTAGGCAGGCTGAGAGTGAGCAAGAACTTAGCAGATTGCATATAATGTCAAAAAAATGTGAAGTTACTCATTTTAGTTGGAAAAATAAAAAATGCAGAGTATTTTTTAAATATTAAAAACAAAGAACAGAGAACAGGCCATTTGGCCCTTGAAGCCTGCGCTGACACATTTTGCCCTTCCATACTAAAACTTTCTTCTTTTACAGGATCCGTATCCTTCTATTCCCTTCCTGTTCATATATTCATCCAGGTGCTTCTTGAGCGCTGCTATTGTGTCTGCTTCCTCCACCACCTCTGGCAGCACATTCCAGGCACTTGCCACCCTTTGTGTGAAGAAGTTGCCTCACACATCTTTTTAAACTCTTCCCCCACACCCCCACCTCGTACCTCGTACCTTGAACCTGTAACCCTAGTAATTGACCTCTCCACCCTGGGAAGAAGCCTCATACTTTCCACTCTGTTTATGCCATTCACAATATTGTAAACTTTGATCAGGTCGCCCCTCAACCCCCTGCATTCCAGTGAAAGCAAACCCAATCTACCCAACCTTTCTTTATAGCTAAAATCCCACATAGCTGGCAATATCCTGGTAAACCTTTCTGTACCCTCTTCAAAGAATCCACATCCTTCTGGTAGTGTGGTGACCACAACTGTATGCAATATTCCAAATGGTGAGAAATTGGAGAATGTTCATGTGCAAAGGGTCCTGGATGTTCTTGTTGATAAGTCACTGAAAGCTATCATGCAGGCATGGCAATTAGGAAGGCAGATGGTATGATGGCATTTGTTGAAAGAGAATTTGAGTGCAAGAATAAAGAAATCTTCATGCTATTGTTTTGATAAGACTGCGACTGCAAGTTTTGATTTCCTTGCCTAATGAAAGATTTTCTTGCTGTGGAGGAAGTGCATCGAAGATTCACCAAACTGGTAGGATTGTCCTGTCGGGAAAGATTGAGGAGATTGGGCCTATATTCTCCAGAATTTGGAAGAATGAGAGAGACCTAATAGAAGCATTCAAAAATTTTCAGGGCTTGACAAGGTAGTTGCAGGAAGGATGTTTCCCCTGACTGGATCGTGTCAGGGAGGCATGTTATTAGAACTGGGAGACATGGAGTTTGAATAAAAGAGGAGGAATTTCTTCACTCAGAATGTTGTGAATAATGTATTTAGAATTCTCTACCAACAGGACGGTGGGGGCTCAGTCATTCGAGACAGAGATTGATAGATGTATAGACCTTAAAGATGCCAAGGAATATGGGAATAGTGCCGAAAAATGAAAATAAGTCATGATCTAGTTGAACGGCAGAGCAGGCTAGATGGCCCAAATTGCTTTCTCCTATCTCCCGTATGATGTAACTAATATACAATAATTATAGATTTTTTTTCACAAGTTTCGTATGTTCACTTTAGATTGTTCTTTGGAAGTCAAATGAATTGAAGTTTTATGTTAGTGTGGGAAGCTGATTCTTCCCTTTAAAGCTATAAAATCTAACTGTCATAAGTAAACGTTTCCAGACATCAGTCAGGTTAATAACTCTTTAAGGAAATTTTTAGGTGAGACTAGTAGATCCTGCCATTAAATTGGAGGTAAAGCAGACAGCGACTTCTAACATTCCTATATGTGCAGCGAAATGCAAAAATCCAGAAATCCCCCTTCAGCTGCACGATATATGTCCTTACTGTTAGGTTTAGCAGCAAAATCAATGCAATATTGTGAAGATAGGTAACTTGCCTATGAATTCTCCAGTAAAAATACCAGAAAAAGCCAAGTATCTCATATGCTGTTTTGAATGGCTTGCTTACTTTCAAAGATTTATGTGGTCACCCAACTCTGTTTTTTTCGTTAATAGAAGTGCCATTTTGTTCATGTTGCCTTTCATCTTTGTGACCTTGAATCTGATGATGTAGAATCCATATGGGTGGAAATAAGAAATGACAAGGAGACCATGATGCTAGTGGGCCCCAATAGTAGATGTGCCATAGAGCAGAGAATAAATCAGGAGATAATGAGAGTATGTAAAAAAGGCAATACATTAATCATGATGACTTTAATCTTCATGTAGATTGAAATAATCAGATTGGCAGAGGTAACCATGAGGAAGAATTAATACAGTGTACTCGGGACAGTTTCCAGAACAATGTCATGGATGCAACCAGGATCAGGTTACTTAGGATCTGGTAATATGTATTGAAGCAGATTTAATAAATGTCAGATCCCCTAGAAATAAGTGACTATAACGTAATGAGAATTTGGTATTCCATTTGAATACCAAAGTGGGAGAGTGGAAATTGAGTGGGAAACTGTGCTAAAACTTAAGGGTAATTATAAAGGAATGAAGGCAGAGTTGGCTGAAGTGAACTAGAAAAGGAGTTTAGCAGCCCAGATGATTGAAGGACAATGGCAGATGTTTAAGAAAATAATTCATATCTCGCAACAAAGATATATCCTAGTAAGAAGGAAGGATTCTAGAAAGGGGATAAGCCAACCATGGTTAACCAGTGAAGTTAAAGATAACATCCCATTGAAAGAAAAATATATAATGTGGCAAAGTTTTTAGTGGTAAGCCAGTGATTTGGCACATTTTAAAAAGACTTTTTTTCAAAAAAAGTAATAAAGCAGGAGAAGATAAACTTTGAAGGTAATCTTACCAGTAATATCAAGATGGACAGCAAGAACTTCTTAAGTATATAAAAAGGAAGAGGGACCAAAGTGAACCCAGGCCCCTTACAGAATGAGGCTGGAGAAATAATGAGAAACCAGGAAATGGCAGAGGAGTTGAATAAGTACTTTACATCAGTTTTTATGATAGATCACATTGATAGTATTCCAAAAATACTACATAATCAAGGGGTGAGAAAAGGCGAGAGGAAATAAATGCAATAACTATCACTAGCAAAAATGTGCTATGGAAACTAATGGGGCTAAAAGCCAATAAGTCCCCTGGACTTGATGGCTGCACTCTAGAATTTTAAAGGAAGTAGTAGCTGCAGAGATGGTGAACACATTGGTTATAATCTTCCAAGAACCCTCAGATTCCAGAAAAGTCCTGGAGGATAGGAAAACTCCGATGTTGCACCCTTACTCAAAAAGGAAAGAGACAAAAAGCAGGTAACTATAGACTAGTTAGCTCAACATCTGTTATTAGGAAATGGTTGGAATCTATTATGAAATGTGCAGCGGCAGAGCATTTAGAAATATAGTATAATCAAATGGAGTTAGCTTAATTGAGGGGAAATCATGCCTAATGAATTTTGAAGAGTTAACAAAAGGAGAACCAATGGATGTAATATATTTCGATTTTCAAAAGGTACTTGTTAAAGTACCGCATCATCTACTACTTTAATATATTAAGAATGCATGAGCTTGGGGATAGTATATTACTGTGCATAGAGGATTGGGTAATGAGTAGAAGACAACGAGTTGGGATAAGGGTGTCATCTTCAGGAAGGCAAGCTGTAACTAGTTGAATACCACAGGGATCAGTAGAAGGGCCATAAGTGTTTACAATATATTAATGATGAGAAAAGTGAATGTATTTTGCTAAATTTAAGGATGACACAAAAAGTCTGCTTGGGGATTTTTTTCTGGAGAAAGGTCTAGACCCGAAACGTCAGCTTTCCTGCTCCTCTGCTGCTTGGCCTGCTGTGTTCATCCAGCTCTACACCTTGTTATCTCTGCATGGGGACATAGGCAGATTAAGTGACTGGTCAAATACTTGGCAGGTGGATATATTGTGGGAAAATGTAAGGTTATGCACTTTGGCAGGAAGAACTAAAGACTGAAGAAAGTTGCAGCGCAAAGGGATTTGGGAACTCTTGTGCATGAATCATGAAAAACTAGAATGCAAGTTTAGCTGATAAAACAGAAGACAAATGGAATGATGGCCTTTATTTCAAAGGAATGAAGTAGAAAAATCAGGAAATCTTGCTAGAACTATACAAGGCACAATTAGGCCATACCTAGAATACTGTGAATAGTTTTGGTCCCCTTATCTAGGGAAAGATATACTGGCATTGGAAGCAGTCCGGAGAAGGTTCACAGGGTTGAAACCAGGTATGGAAGAATTGTGTTAAGAGTAGATTAGGCCTGTTCTCATTGGTTTTTAGAAGAATGTGAGGTGACTTTATTAAATATTTAAGGTTTCGAGGAGCTTGACAGGGTAAATATGGAGAGATTGTTCCCTAGGACTGGAGGGCATATTCTAGAGTAATAGGCCAGTTAGTTAGATTAGAGCTGAGGAGGAATTTCTTCTCCGAGGGTAGTGAATCTGTGTAATTCTTTAACACAAGAGGACTGTATATTCAAAGCTGAGATTGAAAATCTGTCTATCAGTAAGAAAATCAAGGCTGATGGGAAAAGGCAAGAAAGTGGAGTTGAGGATTATCGTTGTTTCATTGAATGGCAGAGCAGATCAGTGTAGACCAAAATGCGTGCTTCTGCTTCTCTGTCTTGTGATCTTCTGATCACTTTTATAAACATTTTGATATCATCTGCTCCTATGTCTTATGATCACTGTTATCAATAATTTGATATCATCAGTTCATGTTTTCCTGTGTTAAATTTCACTCGCCATGAGTCTACCTGTTCCACTGAAATATGTCACGTAGAACTCCCATCACTAGCTTTCACATTATTTATCACGCTTCTGATTTTTCATTACATTTGTAGACTTGTAGATTTATGCCAACTATATCTAAACCCTGGTTCAAAAACCAAATCCTGGGGAACACTAGTGTTGGATTGAAATACACTGGTGTACATAAGTCCTCATGTATGCCATAGTCCAATGACCTCTACCATGAGGTGCATTCACTGTAGGCAGCTATCTTAGCTCACTTTCATTAAAGAGTTTGTGTTTAATACATTGCTGCATTGTCCACACAAACCAACTAGTGTAGACTTCCCTCTAGTCTGATAAACAGCTATTCATTAATATTCCGTTTTTGTTCCTGAGACAGTTTTATGTACACACTATCACTGTCTTATGAGAGCTGTGTTTGTTCACAAAATGATTGTGGTACATTATCAAATGCCTTCTGGAAGTCTGTATACACAACATCAACTGCACTATCCTCATCAACACTTTGCAAGTTTACCAAATAACTCAACAATATAATAACAGCATGGTACTGTGAATGTTGGACATCTGAAATAAAAGCAGAAAGTGTTGGAGAAATGATCTAATCTTGCTCAGTTGGATCTAGCAATTGCTGCTTTGGGGATTTTGAACCCATACTCTCCACTGTACTGAACTATTCGTGGTGCACAGCTTCCCCTGAGCTCCCACAGCTTCCAGGAATTCTCAGGAAACAGAGCTGTTCCACTGCTGGAGGACATCCTTGGTCCTTTCCCGCACAACCCCTGTAGTTCAGTTGCCTCCCAGCAATACCAGTAAAAGCAGCTCTCTCTCTCTCTCTCT